AGAGCTTGTGTATTCAATATAAAACCATGATTGTACCACCATTAGATGCACATTAGAAGGACCTTTCCAATGATATATATATTTGTCCTATGATGTGGTAAAGAATGAGCCAACAGGGGGCAAAATGAGTTGCAGCTGTGGCTGAGAACAAACAAGACCATACTTGGTGGCAGGGGAATGCAGCTCAGTGTTCCCCTGCCACAGACTGTGGTCTTGTTTGGTTCCCAACATAAATGCCTCGATATCTTGGCCCCCAGTTGGCTATATGTCATGAAATATATATCAACAGAAAGCTATGCATGAGCAGAGTCCATATACTCAAAAATGATTTGAATGTGACTAATGCAGCTGCCACTATACACAAGACATGATCCTATTAGTGCCACAACTAGGAAAAGTGCCCAAGGCACATGACCTGATGACATCATTGCCTCCCCCCATGTGTTATATACCACCAGGCTCAGAATTTTGATCTCTATTCAATGGTACTGTCTATATATTTGTTGAGTGAACCTGATAATAGCCAAGTATACATGCTTACCATTCCAAATAATCCAAACTCTCATTGATATCTGTACTTGCTTAGATGAGATCAGACAAGATTGCTCTGTCTAAGGGAGAATCATGTCCCCTATATGTGAGTCACATTTGTATTGTCTTTATACACTGGTATTTGACAGAGAAATATTAGCTAGGCTTTGAAAAACATATTGATCAACAAGTTATATCACTGGTGTGTGCACAATCCTGTGGCTTATCCATAAGGTGCATAATGTACTACACACACCCAGGCTCACATTGAGATGCATGTTCAACCGTGGGAATGCATTGTGTCAATGTATGATGTGTCAATGTTCATTTTTGTTTTGCACACACACCACCATGGCCACTACCCGTGTCCTCAATACCCCTGAGCTCCTTTCCCTCATTGGCCATGCCTGCTGCCTGCCCTGGCAGTACTACAACAGAGATGAGGTCCATGGTGACTCTGACCTGCATGAGGTCCTTGCCTTGCGCACGGTGTCCAGGGACTTCTACCACCACTTCTCCCGCCCCTTTCCCCGCACTGCACTGAGCATCTGCACGGCCCATCAACTCCATACCCTCTTCTTGGATGTCATAGCATTTGAAGAGCACGGATGTCAATGTGCGCTCAGCAGTGGTGATCCACGGCATGTCCACATCAACTTTCTCAACCTCTATCTTCTCGAGGTCAACTTGCACAATGAGACTGACAATGGCCCTCTGCTCTGGGAAATTGCTCAACATGCCACCCCATACATGACAAACTGGACAGAGCTCAACATTGTCACCAGCAACAACTCGTCCACAATAGTGCTGAGTCGTGCCGGACACTGGTGGAGACCCTCCCTCTGCCACATCCAAACCCTGCGGCTCAAGGATGAGTGCAACTATGGGGTGGGCCAGTTTGTGCGTGCATGTTTTCTTGGTCATGCATAATTACTAACATCCTTATAGGGTGTCTCTCATCTGTTTGGGCCATCACCTTGGGACTCCTTGCCATGGCTCCTATATGGTCTCACCCCCTTCCACAACCTTCGCACACTCCTCATCGACACTCCGGCTTTCCCATACCCTGTCCCCCTTGACATCGACCTTGATACCTTTGCCAATGCAGCCAACTTGGGTGCATTCTTGCAGGCCTACAACTTCACCCCCCATGACCTCACACTCTACACACAACTTCTTCCCATTCTTCCACATCTCTGACACTTCTACCTTCAGTACCTGCACTGGCAACCACTCGGCATCACCTGGGAAGACCCACAGGGTGGCACCGGGTATGGCCGCATGTTCCACATCCTTCAACGGCCTCTGAACCCAGATGCACCTGTTCAATCTGGAATCAACCATCTGGACCATTATGACGGCCAAACCTTCGACACTGACCCCTTCTCTGATTGGGTTGGTCCATACACTCCCGACCCCTCTGACCCACTCAGTCCTCAAGTCTATGAGCATCCAGTGCGCATCTATGCCTCCATTGAGGGGCCTACTGTCCGGTAAATACTTAATTCAGTGTTGTTGTTTACAGCTTATGCTAACGCAGTCTTGACAGCACCAGCTTGAGTGGCAGTACATAGTGTGTATGTGCATATGTTTGTGTTTGTTTGTATTTGAGGTTAGTGGGACATGTTGAATTTTGTGTGAGAAAGTTGTGTGAGGTCAACTACACAAGCAAGCTAAATCTTGAACACTAGTGAGTGTGTACCTACCTCTCCTGGCTAAGTGTTGATACCCACTATACAATACGACTCAGTAATCATTTAGCTGTAGATTTGTATAAACATGCAGTGATTTATTATGTATATCAAATCCAAATGCTCCTGATAACAGTTTCAAGCAGTTTTAAAAGTTGCTTGCATCAAAAATACTAAAATATGTGTATGTAAATGCTTGTCAGATGTATAGATTGTATAATTATCACAATAAACTTAGTTCCACTTGATATATCAGATTTGTGAGTCAATGTGCAGTTCAAAAAGCCATTGAGCATGAAAATGATGGAAGTATTTGATGTGATTCAATAAACAGCATTGTCACAAAGAAAGAAGAGCATCTAATCATGTCAATTGTGTTTCACATGAACATATGCCAACGGTTTACTCACTGTCAAAACACTTAAATTATGTCTTTCATTTCAACTAAATGTGCTACTAACAAACTATCCTCTCATCAATCGTACTTGCCAGTCATGGCCCTCTCCACCCAAGTGCAATGAGAGTATACCTGACACGACTCCTTCATCCTCCGCCGCCCGTGCTGCTCCCTCGTCTATCAGAATGACCGCCGGCGAGGCTCCTGCCACTCCCTACACGCCCTTCCCGAACATAACAACTTTCGACATAATACACTGGCAATCTGACGGGTCAAACGTGAAGTCTAACGAGCAGATCAACGACTTCGTGCAGACAATGCAAGAGCCTGGCTTCAATCCGACAGACCTCGCAAACTTTGACATTGCGCACAAGTCTAAGCGCCTGGACATGTACGTCGAGACGATCGAGGGCTCCGCACTGTCCGCACTCGACAGCTGGATCAAAGGTGCGGTTAGCGTCCGACTCCCAAAGGAAGGCAAGAAGTACGCGTCGGAATCGGCCGCGCCGAGCTCCAAGGTCGAAGGCGTGTACTACCGCTCGCTCACCGCGGTCCTGCAGAGCACATATCAACAGCCGTGTGTGCGCGACTGGGACTTCGTCCCCTTCAAGCTCTATTGGATCCCACCTGGCGACACTTCCGACTCTCAATCTGATACCACTAGTTCCCATGGTCCATCACCTTTCCCTCTCGCAGCACTGCAATCCTTGTCGTCTTCATCATCTGGCAGCTCCCCCTCGTCCAGTGCCTCTTCGAGTACCTCCGACCACAGCGCAACCCGGCCGAAAGGTGTGCACATACGCAGAGAAACCTGACTGTCATGACAGCAGTATTGCAGCTGATGTGAACTATTGGACCACAATGGCAACCTGATCAGGTGATGAGATTGCATAAGCATGTTATAGTCTAATTCATGTTTGAAAAACATCAGATAATTATAGAGGTGCCTACCAAGATTATCATCTTGCTGAATACTGCCCTGTTGCTCTTTAAATGCAGGGCATAGTGTAAACATTTGAAATATCATTAATCTAAAGAGTGTCATAGGCTATCAATTGAAGGTTTTGTTACGGTTGATGAGGAACAAAGAAATCATTTCTTATGGGGTGAGCTTCCTGCCAACTTGCATGTCAGAAAGTCGACCCCGTGGGAAAAAATTACTTACCCATCATTAGCTTTCTGATAGGCGCTGCATACAAAAATTTGTAATGTTCACAAGGTTAGGGTTGGGTCCCAATAGCACAGCTTAGGGTTAGCCTTAGATCAGTTCTAATCACAATTCTTACCACATGTAAAGCCTCTCCCCTGGGCGCTTGTGTAACCCTAGGTTGCACAGCACATCTGCCGCTCACTGCACACTATTCCTATAGGCTATGCCCTGTATCAAACAGATCCTTAACACATGGTATAGTGTCATTAAAGTACTATACCCTTTGTTTCCTTGCAGAGCCATGATCTGGTAGTAGTGTTTGTATGCCATATGCAACTGAAAGAGGCTGGTCAGCTATCACTTGAGGTATCATGTACTACCATAGAGCATCATATCTGTTTTTGTATGTCATCTACCATTGGCAGTCACTGGAGTGATTGATGCCTCAACTGATGCATACATCCTCGCTTGAAAAAAAGTACAAATAAAGTATGCCTTGGATTTAGAGTGTAATATGAGAAAAATAGAAACCATAATAGCACCATGGTGTCCAGTCTGTGAAGGGCTTTTGTATATAGTATAATAGGTGCTATATGGATGAGACTGGTGAAGTAGTAAAGGAAATATCATCATTAAAAGACTGAAATCCAAGTATTTCCTTGATTGACAGACCAATTTAATCTGCGTCAAAAGCATGGTAGCATCATGTTGTACAGCTTGTAAAGGGCTTTCTGATGATATTCAATATGTGCTATATGGATGAGAGCTGGTGAAACAGTGAGCAAAATACTGCCAAAAAGCGCCTGCTTTACAAAAAATCTTTTAAGTACCATGGGCGCTAGTAGTTAGCGCTGGGCCAGCTACTAGCGCCCATCGTACTTCACCAAATAACACTTTGGGCACTTATTTGGCCCACAGGATCAGGCTCTACAGAGCCTTCTTTAAGTATCATTGTTTGGCCATTTCTGCACTGTATGATGCATATGAGGCTTGGAAAACCATTCCACTGTATAGGGCTTGGCTAGCAGAGTCTAATGATATATATATCAACATTTATTGGTAATCAGGGTACCTCCTAAAACACGATTTTGTGTACTTTGGCATAACTCTATTGCAACTTGTTGATTATCTGCTGTGAAAGTCAAGCATTGACTAAATTGATGACTTCATATTGGAATATGATCTTACACATTAGAATGCACACATTAGAAAACTTGGGTGGAGAGGGCCATGACTGGCAGGTCCGATTGATGAGGGTATGCATTATTAGTAGCATATTGATGCAAAGTGCCATTCACACCTGTTTTGGTTTTTATGCGGATTTCAACAAGATATCCATCTTTGTAGCTACTCTGACAGCATACAATAGATCAGACATATATTGATCAAATCCTTTGTTAAATGAATGGGCTTTTAATAAATGGCCTGATCTTTATCTTCTAATACAGCTATTTCTTCAACTTATGGGAGCATTTCCTTAATGTTGACACTATCCCCTCCCTCTGAATGGCAACAGGGCACCATTCAGCCACACAATGTCTCTAGGCACTCTCAGCATTATTCAACATCTTCAAACATAGATTACACCATAAAACACACTTTCTTAACATGATCATATAATCTCCTCATCTGATCAGATTGCCATATGGTCCAGCAGCACACATTAGCTGTAATACTGCAGTCATGATAGTCTGAGCTCTTTTTGGGATCATTTAACAATCATATAAACAGCAACATTGCAAAGATATTGAAATTCTGAGCCTGATAGTATATAACACTTGGAGAAATGCAATAATGTCATCAGGTCATGTGCCTTGGGCGCTTTTTCCAATTGTAGCACTAATAGGATTTTGTACTGTGCATAGTGGCAGCTGCATTGGCCACATCTATGATTTTTGGATATATGGATTCCCCTTATTATTAGCTTTCTAGTGATATATATCTTATGAGATATGGTCTAGTAGGAGGGAAGATATTGAGACATTTGTGTTGGGAACCAAACAAGACCACATTCTGTGGCAGGGGAACACTGAGCTGCATTCCCCTGCCAGTGAATGTGGTCTTGTTTGTTCTCAGCCACAGCTGCAACACATTTTGCACACTGTTGACTCATTCCTCACCACAACATAGGACATTTATATATCACTGAAAAGGTATTTCCAATGTGCATCTAATGGTGGTAAGATTATGGTTTTATTCTGAATATACAGGCTTTAATGCACTAAACACTGATTGTGGCTGAAGGTCATTGCCAAATTGTATGCACAATACCTGGTCTTTATGCTCACTAATCCATCTATCAAGCTTCATTATTATATTGCAGGACACTTTCATTGTATAAGGCAGAAGATAGTGGTAGCAGTGTATCAGATAAACTGCTTAATCTGGACCTGAACATCCTTTTACTCCAATTTATGCCTTCAATTGGCCTTCTATTGACCTACAAACAACCCCATTGTGTAGAGCTCAATTTTCCGAACCTGACAGTATATAATACTTGACATTATGCCTGGGAAAACACTGACCTAGACCCACATTGATCCCCATTAGTGACAGATTGTGACCCAGAGTCACTTATGGTGGGTTGGTTGGCTTGTAGCACTCCCATATGTGCTCATAATGCTATACAAACATCCCCGATTG